CCGATTTTATCTTCGACCGGGCACAAGTAAAACACCGTATGAATTATGGAAAGGTAAGAAACCAAATATTAATTACTTTCACATTTTTGGCTCACGATGTTTTATTTTGAAGGATAGAAATCCTGTTGCAAAATTGGAACCAAAAAGCGACGAGGGGATCTTTCCCGGTTATTCAACGAACAGCAGGGCATATCGTGTATATAACAAAGTGACCAAGACCATCATGGAGTCTACAAATGTTGTAATTGATGATCAACCGAATGATATTGTTGAAGTTTCACAACCTGAGTCAATGACAGAACCTCATGCAAACCGTTCTAAAACTCCTGATCCTGAAACTCCTGAACCAGATCCAGAGTCGCCTACGTCATCACCCACGCCAACTCAACCTGACCCAGAACCAGAATCAGAATCTGATACTGATCAAGACGACATTGACATTCCAACACGCATCCACAATAGATCATCCATCTTCAAAATTAATTTTGCCATCATCTTTGGTGATAAGGTCTACAGGTTCATTACTCTCTAATTCCTTTTGTTGATTTCATGAATATTTTAGGGTGTCATTGTCTAATGTGTCCTATGAAATACCTGTAAATATTCCTATGTCTAAAGCTGAGTTTTTATGTGTTCCTTTACCTAATTTGGTGCCCTCTACTTCAATATCCTTGCATTCATCAAATCTTGACAATTCTTCATCTTTGCCAGTGTAATATTCTGCATCTGTGATAGAATCTGTTTCAAGATAAGAGAATTTATCTTTTGAATTAATGGTTCAGTTCCTACATGCTCTCGCTTTGCATCTATGTCTTTTTTGTGTTTGTGTCTCTCTATGATTGATTTGTCCTCTATTCTAATTTTTTTAATTTTCTCACAATTAGTCCTTTTCGTTACCTACTCTAAATTGCGGATTGATTCTTTGTGTCTTGTTCTTGACTGTTTTTTATGCGTTTACTAAATGTTCTACTTGCGTTGTTTTGAGTGCTTTTAACGGATTCATTCTTTGTGTTTTGTTCCTGACTGTTTTCTATGCGTTTAGTAAATATTCTACTTGCGTTGTTTTGAGTGCTTTTGAACTGATAAACCTATTTTTTCTTAGGTTATTTTTGTTTCTTATGTTGCATCTTTGAATTATTATGGTTACTTGAATGAAAACTTGATGCAATTTGTTTAATATTTGCACAATATGTGAATGTGTTTTGTTGGTCCGGTCATGACCGTATCTATGTTTACTTGTGTACTTATTGTGCTAACTGTTATAAATTCTTGCCTGAAGTTGATTTATATGAATCTGTGCCTGATTTTGCTCTATTTGAATCTCTGGCTGTATATGCTTTACCTGAATGTGCTTACTGTCTTATTTACCAATCTGTCTTCTTGATTGACTCAATTGTGTGTTTTTTGTGTTATTTGCTACGAATTTGTGCTTGAATGCGTTTGTTAATTGGTATGCTTTATCTACTTAATCTGCTCCAACTTGGCTTGTGCTTATATGTTATTTGTTAAAATTGTTATCACGTTTTGCTTTTCTCGTTGTTTCTAATCTTCTTATGCAGGTTCAGTCCCATAGGGCACTCCGTCAGACTCAATCCAAGAATATAGATGTTCACCTTTGTTAATTTATTGGCAAAAAGGGGGAGTACAATGGGGAAGTATGAATTAAGTACAAAGTGGGGGTATGGATTAAGGGGGAGTTTTGGTAAAATTGTTGAAATTTTGGTTTGGTATGTTCTGGTTGTTTTTGTTGGAATAAGGGGGTAAGTAAGAAAGAGGGAGTAGTAGTTAAATGGTTGATGTATTGGCTTGACTCTTATTGTTGTATATGGTATGTCTTTTGGTACTACTACTCTTCCGGAATATTGTGTGGTAAATCTCTGACTATTATCACTCCCTGATTATGCGATTCATGGTTTATGTCTATTCACAATGAAGCTTTTATTTATCTTATATCCGTATTGTGTGGTTTCTGGGAATAATTCTATAAGTCCGAATCGTGACATCTCATGGGATATTCGACAGTACAGGTTCATTGGAATACACGGATGGAATATGGTCCAAAAGGTTTTTAGTTTAAATTATTTTTTTTAAGGTAATGTTTAGTACATATACTAAGGGCCTTCAATAAAATTAAATTGTTTATCTTATTTTGCCCAAAGTATAAGATACTATAGTTTTACCAAATAAATTGCCAAAGGTGGAGATTGTAAGTGTACAAGTTTAGTACACATTAAAACCTTGGTTGGCTAATTTATTTAGTTTCAATTTAATTAGATTTAATTAGATTTAAGATTAGTTTAAATCTATTTGGACTATTTCCTATCTTATAAGATCATTTTAAGTGGCTATCATTTATTAGAAATTTAAGAAGAGAAAGTCAGAGCATACAGTGAGGGAAGTTCAAAATAGAATGTGTGGATGTGGTTTGTTGAAGATTATGGATGCTATCTGTATGGATCAAATCTGGTGGATTAAAAGTTACTATAAAAGGAAGCTATTTCTTTTTGGAAACTGACGAATTGAGAACTGCTATTCTAAGTGAAAGAATATTTTACAAGCTCTTATATTAGCTCTTTGATTATATTATTGTAGTTTAATTCTGGACTGCACAGACAGTACCTGGTACAGCTGAAGCTTCGCTTGAAGATTGTTATGGCATGCACGGTTCAGTCCTGAATAGGTGTTAGGAAGGGTTGTAGTGGTAAAGGCTGAGAGCCATTTGTACTTACCTTTGTAATACTCCTTGGTGAACATCTATAGTGGATTGGGCAGACGTGGGTTGCCCCGTAGACGTAGGAGAAGCGCTCCGAACTGCGTAACAATTCTCTTGTGTTATTGTTTTATTTTATGCTTTCAATTTTCGTTATTTACATTTTATTAACAAATCTAATTAATGAACGCGATTGTTGCATAACATAAAATCAGTAGAATTCTAAGGTTCATCTTGTATTCAAGATTCACGGTGCAATTTCAATTATTATTATTGTTATAAATATCACATCTTTCACAAATTTTAACAAATTTCAATCTACTCCTAATTTATTTTTATATTTCTCTCGTTTATTTTTGTAGTTTAATTTTTAAGCAATTATTTGTTTAATTTTCATTCTATAATTATCGTATTAATTAATTAGACGTACTATGTTTATTTTAATTAAGTTTGGAAATGAAAATTTTAAGCAATTATTTGCTTACTTTTCATATTTAGGTATGTTCATTCATTTATGTTTATTATAAATTTATAAATCAAATAAATAAAGAAATAATTAAAATAGAGAGATAAAATGGTGGGACCACAAAAAGTTGTGAAAAACTTAAAACTAATGGGGAGAAGAGATTTTGTGTTTGAGTGAGATAGTGGATAATGAGGTGGATGTTGAGGCCCATAAAAATCTGTGGTAAAATTTTCAACTATTGAGGATGTTTTTTATTTTATTTTCTAATTAAATTTCCTCCATTTTTGTTCTTCTAAACTTTTATCATATTATTGACTTTGTTAGTGTTGCATTACTAAATTGACTTTTTTGTATAAAGATTTTTAAGGAAGAAGACAAATCGCGAGTCTCTTGAGTAGTACAGTTGTTCCCAATTGATACGAATTTGGTTGGCCCGATCTTTTCTTCAGGCTCTATTTAAAATGATATTTTAGAACAATTTATTAGGCTAGGTGAAATATGATTCAAAGGTTTAATTTAGGTTGGGAAAACGGTTAATTTTTGGATTTTTTTTATTAGTCCTCAGCTACACCGGGTAATACGGTGATACATAGAATTTGGGACGATGCCACAAGTGAGGTTTCACACTTGATAAGTCAGGATCACCATGACTTGATCTTGTACACTTCTATGCTCCTACGATCCCATGATTGGGCACATCCGGTACACTTTTGCGTTCTTGCCATCCCTGATTGGTTAGTGCCCCCACTCCACCTCAAGTTCTCAATGAGGTTCAAACTCATACTCTATTATTGGAAGTAAGATTTAAATTGATTGATCCGATTACTTAAACTGGCACGTGGGCTACATGAATTATTTTTTAGAATTTTTAATTCAGTTAACCAATTTATATATACCAATGAATTTATTGTCACATTAATATTATGAGATAATTTTAAGAGGTCAGAGAAAATAATTGTTTTTTTAAAAAAATTATAAGTTATTTTTGAATGGTAAGCACCCAAACTCTAGGATCTCCGATGCCTTTACACTAAAAATTTAGTGAATGAGTAAATCATGAATGTGTCTTAATAATCTTACCTTATATAAAGTGCTCATAGGCTATCGTCCATAACCATAATGAGTTAAATCTAGGGTGTGTTTCGTTTAAATATTTAAATCGGAATGATAATGAGAATCAAATACTTATAATGATAATGAGTTTAAGTAAGAGAAATCATTTTATTCGGTAGTAAATAAAAATTGAAATTCAAATAAATGAATGAATAAATAAATATATAAATAAATATATAATACAGATATATACATACATATATGTGTGTATATATTAAAATTCATATTTAATGCATGGACAATGACTTTTTTATTTTTTTATCTCTTATTTTTTATTTAACTGTTCAAAAGTAGATCAGAGAAGTAGAAGAGTAATGCATTTTGTAATTGCTAAAGAATTTGATTCAAATAATATGATAATAGAAATACACAAACAAACTAGTAAGGTGTAAAAGTCCCCAAACAAACACAATTTTATTTTAATACTACTGACTCTATTACAATGTACTAATATAGTATCTGTTCATAATTATTTTCTTAATTAAATAAAGCACAAACCAATATCACCTCAAACCCACAACCTCTCTTATAAGGAAGCAACTTAGTGCCATTGGACACAAGATCCTTGGCCATCTATCTTTGGTAAAATTTAAATCCACACTGTAATTCACAGACTGCCTTTACAGGCTTTACTAGCAGGGAGAAAACGTGGTAGAAGTTAGGCGGAGCCTAAAGGCTTTATCGCTATATAAACTACCAATACCAAAGCCTCAAGAATTCACTCACCACCACACAGTTAAAATACGTAAAGCTTCCCAAAAAACACTCCATCTTCTTCATCCTCGATGGCTTCATCTCTCCGTTCATTTGCAGCTGCCCTTCTCTTTGTGATGCTGTTCATGGCCACTGGTATGCCTCCATCTTCTTCTTCCTCCTCCTTTCTTCTTAACTGATCTGACGCCACTCCCATTTTTGTTCTTCTATTTATTTTGTGTGACGAGATAAACTTGTAGTCACTATCCAAGAGTATGCATAGATAAATGATAAATCCCGCCCTGTGACCCTAATTGGTGAAGGACACCAAGGAAATATACCTGCCTAATTAGTTAGTAGGTCAAACAAAGAAGTTAATAGGTTCTCCTTGTTGAAAGTTGGACATGTAACCTTGTAGTTATGAAGAATTTTTGTTGTTTCATGAATATGCATATGTGTGTGGTAATTGTGTGCAGAGCTGGGAACAAACACAATAATGGTGGCGGAGGCGAGGATGTGCGAGTCGCCGAGCTCGAAGTTCAAGGGGCCATGTGCTCGGGACAGCAACTGCGCAACGGTTTGCCACACGGAGGGGTTCTCCGGCGGCGACTGCAAAGGGTTGCGCCGCCGCTGCTTCTGCACTAAGCCTTGCTAATTCATCATCTATCCATATAGGCAGCAGCTGCGGCAGTACTGTGTGTATGTGTGGTGTGTATTGCTAAATAAATGTTACAAATCCAACCATGTGGATCACTCTTCTCTCCATCTGCTTCCTAATAAACCTTCGAAAACCCAAACATGGAGTCTGCTGCTTTGCCAGCTCTTATGGTGTTTGGTCTCTTGCTTGCTAGCTGCTATTACATGTATTCAGTTGTTTCATGTTTCGTACCTTTTCTGTTTTCTTGTCTGAAGTTATCAACTAATTTCTCTGTTTTTTTTTTTTTTTCTTTTCATTATTAATATAATGGTGAAAAGTAGTCTATGAAAACTATGTTGTCTACTCAGTACTCACCTAACTTCTAACACTGCGTAAAAATGTGTGTTGGTTTTATGGAAATGTGGTAGTGGATCGGCAGGTCAATATAATAACTGTAAAATAATGCAAAGAGAGATAGAGATGAAAATGACAAAGTTATTGCTAGAGAATTGAATGTTGAACTCTTTTTAATGTATTTCAGAGAGGTATTTCTACAAGGTCTACATGCTTTGATAAAAGGAAAGAGAGAGTTCATAAATGTGTAATATGAAAGTTTCCTAAGCTATAAGATTTTCTTTTCTAATGACATAAAAGAGAAATTTGGTCTAAGATTCGGAGGAAATTTAATCTCTGTGAAATCTCTTACCCCAACCCCACCCCCTCTTCCCCCCCTCAAGATTTGGCACCCGATCTAGTCCATCCCCAGACCTCAACTGCCTACGGAGGGGTTGGGCGACTGGGTTCGGCCACGATGTCCCGGTTAGGGTCCTGACTGCCTGTTCCACTTGGTGCCCTGTCTACGCCCTGTGCTGATCAATCGCGTATGATTGAAGGGCTGCCTGTGCTTTACATGCGCCCAAGTTTGGGGTCCCACCGGTCCTTCGGATAGGCTGCAAGTTTTGAGTGCGTGGGCATGCCCCAGACTAGGTACCCTACTCGGAGGTATCCATCAATATGCATTAATATTATGATCATCACCACTCAAAGTATAACAACATAATTTCAAAGAAAAAAAAAAGTTAAAATAAGCTATTGAACTTATTAGGATCGGAACTAGTGAGTCATTGATGAACTAAAAAAAAAAGTGCACTCAAATTTGTTGCACACTAACATATCGGGTATAACTTATAGAGTCACAACCTTGAATGTAGTTATTTTAGATCTTGAGCATTAGTTATTAACGGATACATTATCAATTGTCTGATGTATAACCAAAATTAATAATTACTATGAAAATGAAATGATATTCTTTTCCCTATTTTCAGCTATATATAGATCAATCTATATGAATGGATGAGATTATTCTACTATCGTTTATTTTTTAAAAAATGGAAACGCATGTTCTCATATGATCATAATACATATAGGGCAAATTATGTTGTGCATCCGTATGCACCATGCATGGTGCATACGGATGCAAAAACGATGTCGTTTTGTATCAAAACGCGCATCCTACTTAAAAAAAAAAAAAAATCAGTTTCGATTCCCAGCAACAACATTATGTTGTTCATTTTTTAGTTCATTCATTCTGAATTTTTAGTTATGAAATTATGAATGTGTAGGTATGCAATTATGGATTTATAGTTATGAAATTATGGATGTGTAATTATGCATGGTGTCGTTATGCAATTCTGAATTTTATAGTTATGAAGTTATGGATGTATGTATAGTTATGCAATTCTGGATGTATAGTTATGCAATTCTGGATGTATATTATGAAGTTATGAATGTGTAGTTATGCAATTCTGAATTTATAGTTATGAAATTATGGATGTGTAGTTATGTAATTCTGGATGTATAGTTATGAAATTATGGATGTGTAGTTATGCAATTCTGAATTATTTTTATTTTTTTAAAGTTAGACGTCAAAACGACATCGTTTTTACATCCGTATGCAGCATGCACGGTGCATACGGATGCATAGCATAGCGATTGTACATATAGTGTGTGTGGCAATCGCATTGGTGCATTTTGTACTCGATGATACCCAAAAGGGAATGATAAAGGTTTTGAATTTATACAGGGTACTACGAAAACATTGTCTCAATAGTTAAAATCATTCTTATGATTCCCTTGTCATAAATAAAAAAAGAAAATGATTTATTTTGAAATCAAATATTAGAAGAGAATCAAATAAGCAATATCACAAAAGAATATAGACATTAAAGAAGTAAATTTTGAAGAAGGAGGTAGATCAAAGTAACTTTCAACAAAGATAAGTTATATGATAGCTACAAGACAGATAGATTTTGGTCACAGATTGGACCTAACCTAATCCACTGATTTCTGAAAAGTTGGTCTCGAGTTGAGAGAATGCCGAATCTAAATTGGCTACATGTCCACCTAATAAATTGAATATAATTTAAAAAAAAATTTCTACCACATGTACTCTCATATTTTACTCCCTTAATTTTACTCTTTAATGTGACAAATTTTAATAAGTTATTTATTCATGTGAGTCTCAATATAAGCGTTTACATTAAGATTTTGTGTGTGAAAGTAAAAATTAAGAATACACATAATATTTTTTCATTAAAAATTAAAGGAATGAGATAAAAGAAAAATTCATTAAATTATAGATGACTATCTACATGGAATGGACACTGGAAATCTGACATCTGACAGCATTTAATCTTCTGTTCAATTATGTTTACCCCTACACAGGTGGTCAGCTTTAAGCATTCATTTTTCACCTTCAATTCTTGAAGCTGAGAGCATCCAGAATGGTAGATACGGACATTTGATTGTCAAATCAATAAAAGAAAAAAAGAAAAAAAAGAGAGAAAAAATTCAAATTAATTTGTATTTGCAAGTGTGTATATAATATAAGCCTTTTCGTTTGCACATTTGCAAAGTAGAGTGTGATGAGTCATGAATAGTGTCGGTAGATCAGACTTGTGACTTTTCAGTCGTTAGATCACTTGAATTGCGTTGAATATATATATATATATATATATATATATATATATATATATATATATATATATATATATATATATAGTCAAAGTACCTATGAGGTCCCCGTACTATATTGTTTTGTTCAATTTAATTCTTCTACTTTAATTTTGTTCAATTTAGTCCCTGTACTTTGAAAAGTGAAACAATGAAAGACAAAAATTGATGTGACGCTAACATTATCTCTGCTACGTCATCATACTTACATGTCAACTCGTATATTATTTTATAAATATTTAAAATTAATTATTTTTACCACCAATATATTACATTAATATGTCACAAATAAATACATAAATATTTGCTCATATAAGCAATTGTCCTTAATTGTTTCAATTTTTAAACTATAGGGACTAAATTGAACAAAACACTATAGTACAGGGACCTCATATGTACTTTGACCCCATATATATATATATATATATATATATATATATATATATATATATATATATATATATATATATATATATATATATTATTTTTTTTTTGTTCTGTACAAAGTATCTAGACTTTTTGAGGAAAATTTTTCTTAGGATGTGAACCTAGACTCTTTTTGCCTTAGTAACATTCACTCGTGTTTTAAGATTTTGAACTGTTGGTTCAGAGAATGTCTCGATGAGTTCTTTTTGAATGGTTAATTGTTACTATTCGTGTTAACGTTTCAAACCTTAACACTTTACAACCTCTCGGATACGAATGGTTGTCTTTTTGAATGGTTAATTGTTACTATTCGTGTTAACGTTTCGAACCTTAACACTTTACAACCTCTCGGATACGAATGGTTGTCTTTACTATTTATTCATTTTATTTTACTTCGAAAGGTAGGTTCTTCCACCATTCAGCCTTTGTAATATTTTGGTCTTTCAGTCTTCTACTCTTCGAATCTTCTTCTCGAACTCTTCTCGAAATTTTCATCTTCAAGCTATTCGAAAGATATCCATTCGAGTTACTATTCAAATTTTTGTTGAGAATAACATAAATGTAACTTTTCAAGTTATCATTCAAATTGTTTTGTCTATTTAAAGCGTGACTTCTCAAGTTACTATTTAGTATTTAGACTATTCGAATTTGAGCAGAAATATCTTTAAGTCTAGGAAATAAAATAAATAGGGGATAAAATTTCAAATTTTTAGTATCATCTAAATTTAAATTACAAGTGTTCCTAACACTATGTGAACTCTCAATTTCTACTTTTATTCTCAAATTTTTGATAAAAACATTATTTTGAACACCAATATAATAAAATTAACATATCAGTATTTGTCACATCAAAAAATAAAAATTAAGAAATGGAATAAGAATATACATAATAGAGCTCAAGTGCTCAACTAATTATGTGTAGAGAAGTCCTTTAGACATGACAGTATTGCAAAGCCCAATATGTCCATTAATACCCCCTAATTAAATTTATACAAACAGCAGAGTAATAATGTCTGGCTCATACAACTCATATTATGAAACTCAAATTTGAAGCCACAAAATGGATGTATTATTGTAAACACAAAAAATATCGAAATTGTATATATTCACAAAATATACAGTGTCAAGGTGTAGGTACAAAATCTCTGTGTAGTCCTCTGATTCTTCATTGACGTGTACTACTGAAGTGCCTCAGGGATTCAAGTAGCGTAGCCTCCGGGATTCAAATGGCGCGCGCCTCCGGGATTCAAATGGCGTAACTTCCGGGATTCAATTGGCGTGATCTTCAACAACAAGTGTCAAGCTTCGAAACAATCAACTCTGCAAAACATCAAAGTACCTGCAATTGCTTCAAGTTGCCTTCAAAAGACTTCAATATCTTCAAGGTACCTGCAATGGCTTGAAGTTGCCTTCAAAAGACTTCAATATCTTCAAGGTACCTGCAAAAAATGTCTTCAATGTCTTTAATTCTTTAAGATCTTCAAATGCCTTCAAAGAGCTCTCAAATCTTCAAGCCTTCAAGTCTTCAAGCGTTCTTCAATGTATTTAAGGTGTGATTTAAAAAATAAAATTGGGGCTCTATTTATCGTGAAGTTTGTAACTAAAATCCCTCAACAAACTCCACCAATATTTATTAAATTAAATTAATTAATTATCTACTAAAATAAACCTTGCCAAAATCAAGTCTAGGTTCATTATTCTATCATCTAATTCAAATTCAAATTAAATTATAATTATCTAATTCAAATATAATAAAATCATATTACATTTAAATTATAATTATAATTATAATTCAATTATGAAATGGGCTTGGACAAATTAATTAATTAATTCAATAGCCCAAATCAAATTTACTTGGACTAATTAAAT